GAGGGGAACACTTATAAATATGACTCAAATGGTGCAAAAGCAATTTATGTAACCAAAACGTTTGAGCCCATGTAATATTCTTAAATAAAATTGAAAAAAAAAAAAGGAAATCTGCCTATTGCAGACAAGCCATGACGTACCAACTCAAGTGATCTGTTCAGAGAACTGACGGTCTGCAGGTGATTTAAACTTGGCGCTGCATGGCCTCCGCTCCTGTTAATAATTTAGTGTGTTATTGTCCAAGGTGTGTCTGACCTTCCTTTCCTTCAAGGCCAGAAATCCAGTTTTAAGGGTTTTTTTTTATTTTTAATTTTTTTTTATTAAATGATAGCTGTATACATTAATGCAAACATGGGGTACAGTGTAGTGTTTTCATATATAATTTGAAATACTTTCATCAAGCTGGTTAACATAGACTTCATGTCATTTGCTTAGTCATTGTGTCAAAACATTTATATTCTAGTTCTAGAAAAGTTCACTTGTACCCTTGTTAGACAGACTATATAGGTGATCTTTCCAGTCACCCTCCCACCACCCAGCCACCCTTCTCCCCTCCCCTTCCCCATCCCCTCTCTATATTCTTGGGCTAGAATTAAGTTGTAGCTTTCATTTGAGAGCTATAAATTATACAGTTTTAAGGTTTTTCTTGGGTCCGTTCAGTTGTGGGGGTGAAGCTTAGGATTTTATTTTAATTCACATCATAAAAGTTGCTCCTCAGGAACAGCTGAATGGGAGAAACACACAGGACAAGGGACTGAGGGGCAGTCACAGAGTACCACGTCCTCTCATCACACCAGCCCCACAGGACCTCGAGTGTCCACCAACCTGGAAGCTCTCTGAGCTTAGCTGTTTTGGGATTTTTATATTGGTTTTTCTTGCATAAGCATGACTGATCAAGTCGTTGGCCATGGTGATTAGCTCAGTCTGCAGCCTCTGTCCTCTCCCTAGAGGTGGTGGTGGTTAGGGGAGGCAGGAAGCCCCAGTCTTCTAATGATGTACTGGGGTCCTCTGTCTACCCGCCCCCATCTAGGAGTCTGCCGATGTCATCTCATTAGCATGGACTCAGATATGGTTGACAGGGGCTCATGTGAATATGGAAAGACCAGGATTTACCAAAGTTATTAGGAACTCTGGGCTGGGAATCTGGGGGCAAAGACCAAATATAATTGTCCCTTGGTAGTCGGGAGGATTGGTTCCAGGGTGCATCTCCCTCAGGCTAAAATCTGCAAATGCTTGAGACCCTTACATAAGATAGAACAGACCTGTGGTCCCCAAGCCTTGTGTGAGAGACTGGTACCAGTCTACAGCCTGTTAGGAACCGGGTCACACAGAAGGAGGTAGGCAGTGGGCAGTGGGCAGCGGGCTAGTAAGAGGCTTCATCTGCGCTTAAGTTGCTCCCCATCTGGCATCATGGCTTGAGCTCCACCTCCTGTCAGATAAGCGGCATCATTAGAGTCTCATAAAACCTTGAACCTTACTATAAATTAGGCATGAATAGGGTCTAGGTTGCATGCTCTGTGTGAGAATCTAACACTTGCTAATCTGAAGTGGAGATGTAATGACTGAAATCATCCTGAAACCAACTTCCCTGCCCACCCACTGGTCCATGGAAAAGTTGTCTTCCATGAAACTGGGCACAGGTGCCAAAAACATCGGGGACCCTGGCATGGACTTTGCGTATAACCTATGCATGTCCTCCTGCACACTGTACTTTCAATCATCTCTAGATTAGTAATAACGGCTAATACAAGGTTAGTCAATGTTATGTAGATGGCTATACTGTATTTTTAAAATTTGTATTATTTTTATTGTTATATTCTTATCCTTGTTATTTGGGTTTTCTCCCTAATATGTTTTAATATTAGGTTCCAATGTAGAATGGGCAGGTATAGAGGGCCGACTGTATATTTTTGTTATATCACAGTTTGCTGCAGATCGCTGAGCCCCACCCCTGAGTGTCTGGTTCAGGAGGTCTGGGGAGGGGCCTGAGAATCTGAACAAGTTTCCAGGTGCTGCTGATGGCGCACACCAGAGCGACCACACAAGGAAAAAGTCTCTTCCAAACACTGTCCTTCAGGCTTCTCGGGCACCTCCTCTCTCAGTTCTGCTCAACACACCTTACCTCAGAGCGAGGAGGTCCTGGCCTGCGCACCGACTGTCTGGAGAGTGTGGAGCACCGAGAGGATTCATCTCGGGGCAGGGAAGACTTGGAAACGTGAAGAAGGAAGCTGAGAACAGAGCTCCTGCAGCTGGACAGGTCCCCTCACGGTGAGGCCGCGGCTGAGCCCCTGCAGCTGGAGAAGCAGAATCTTTTCCTCCCAGACCTCTTGCTGGTCGGCTGGGTATGAGCACCCCGAGGCTCAGCCTGCCTGTTCCAGGCTCTGTCTGTTCTGCTACTGAGGTGCCCCAGCACGGCTCGGCCCTGTGGCTCCTCCCTTCACTTCCCTGGAGTGAAGTGCTTTTCCCTTCAATCCTATTTTACTTTGAGCCTTAGTTAATCTGTACACGTGCGTACGTATGGAGTCACGCCTTACTCTTGCCCAACTCTTCCCTCCGTCCCCAAACCCATCCATACCTGCGAAAGCTCACCTTTCCTCAAACGCTCCATTGCTGGTTCAACAAGCTGCCTTGTGTCTGGGGGTTGAGCTGCCTGTTCCAAATCAGGCTGAACACCCCCCAATCTACTGTGACTTTTGAGGCACGGGGCTCATGTGGTAAGAAGAGCAGGTCTGGAAGCATCACTGCCCTCTTTTGTTTCTCCTCCCACGCTTGCCTGCTGCCTCAGTGCCACCCAGTGGGACTGAGGGCACCCGGGGAGGCCTGGCCTGCTGCCTCAGTGCCACCCAGTGGGACTGAGGGCACCCGGGGAGGCCTGGCCGGCCTGGAGCTCCCACCCTCCCCCTGGCTTTGACTGACCTTGAAAAGGAGGGTGGGCAAAGGATCTGAGTGAGAATACATGTGGGGAAGAGGAAGCATCGGGCGGCCGGAGGAATGATTAGGAGCATTTCCTCAGGAGTCAGAGGGCCCAGGGTGTGAACTCTGGTTTGTCTCTGAGTAGCTCCTTGGTTTGAAGCAAGTAAATGTCTATGCGCCTCAGTTTCCACCAGGAATACCTCCCTCCCACAGAGCCAGCACGGGTGGTAGGCAGAGGCACTGATTCTGAGGCCACACTGCCTGGGCTTGGATTGTGGCTCATCATTTCATGAGTGTCATATCATGGGCCTTGAACAATTCACTGAGCCACTCTGTGTCCCACTCCTGTAGCTGTCACATTGTGAAACTGTGGTGACAGGAGCTGCCCCATGTGAAATGGCACCATTTACTGGAGGCTCCTGAGTATCTAACTACATTCTCCAAGAAGTCCAAATCAGATTAAAGAACGATTCCTGTCCTCCCAACACTGATGTCTGAAAAACACCATAATGCAGGATGTTGGTGACATTTCACAAGCCCCGTGTGTGTGTGTGTGCGTGCACACTTGTATTTGTAATAAAAAATGTTGAATTATAGACAACAGAAAATATAGTATTGATAGGTACTTTTATTTTCTCCCAAGAAATGCACTAAATAAAAATCAACCAAAAAATAAAAAGAGGAAAACAAAAGAGGGGGCCAGGCAAAGCTTAGAACCTGGTGCTCTGGGAATGGACCTCCCAAAGCAGCAGGGAAGGTGAGGGGACAGACAGGTGAGAGCTCTGTGCAGGGCAGGGTGGCCAAGCTGATGTGGGGACTAGAGTTCAATGTCTTCTTACTTTATTTGTCAAACTCAAGGCAAAACGTGGTCAAATGAAACACTGGAAACTTTAAGAAGTTGGGAAACTGGTGGGACTTTAGCCCGACAAGAGGCAGATGGCTTCAGATAGTAAATATCCTCTGTTTAAAAGCTAGCTGCTGAGGACAGTGGGGGCCTTCTACCTTTAACTATTCTAACGAGACAGAGAAAATGGGTTTGAGTAAGAATCGAGTCTGAAGGAAGTCACTGTGTGTAGGTGGTAGCACTGAGAGGCCACATGTTTGTAACTGTATTAATATGAGGAGTAACTTCACTCACTTGCTGCTGCCACATAACTCTAGATCATCTGTAAATGGAAAGTGATGTGCAAAGAAAAATGAGCCTGATGAAAACCCTACTTATTGTTCCAAAGAGCCAGAGAATGTCTGCATTTGAGGAAATGCTCTGTTAAGAATAAATTGCTCACAATTAAGTGAAATATTGGATAAAGTTGATTGAACAGCATTAGACTCATGGGAATCATTAAAGAATTTGGTCTGAGACCCCAAAAATAATTCTGTGCAAAAGATGTGAATAGAAAAAGTTTGTCAAGGCAGATGTATGAAAGAATGCATCTCTACATCAGCCTTTAAATGCTTTTCCCAAACAGTCTATGAATTTAAGTCAGGATATTTGAATATTGCCAATTTGAGACAATAAATCTGATAAAGGAACTCCTTAAAAGTAGAAGGACCCCACTGCCCTCAGTAGTTAGCTTTGAAACAGAGGACGTTTACTATCTGGAGCCATCTGCCTCTTGTCAGAGGAAAGGCCCACCAGCTTCCCAGGCAGATTTCCCGTCTCTCACAAAAGCCTGCTTCTCTTGTGCTGTAAAATGATTCAAATAAATTCCATGATTTTCTTAGTTCAAGCCACATATTCAGATTTGAGGTTTACATTCTCATTCTCTTATTTGCTAGGAAGGGTCAGCATTAAACAACAGGTGTATTATCCAAAGAATCCCATCCAATTAACAAGTGACTATTCATGCAGAAACTTTCCTCCCTGACGAACAAGGATGTGAATTCCACGTCTGTGGAACTGTGCAGGAAGAAGCTTGAGCTGGCCCCACCAGCTGCTGCAAGGTTATTCTTACATATAGCCTCACATTGCTTTATATGGAGAAGTTCTTTTTCTTAGAAAAGATTCAACCAAGCACAAAAGTAAAATTCCAGAGGCGGGATGGGGGAGAATGGAGGTGGGAATGAGGCATCAGGAGACGCTTCTCCTAATCACTGACTGGTGAAGATGAAACACTTTTTTTCCTGTGAAAACGAAACAAAACAAAATAGTCAGGTTTAGAGAAATACCTGTAAGAAACCGCAGCCTTCCCCTGAAGATATCAAACAAGAGACATTTTGCATACCGGCTCCCCATTTAATTCACGGGGCTGCTAGAATGAGCCACCCCTACTCTGTGTAAACGTGATCGTGAAAAACAGGTATTTGTTTTGGGAACTCCCCGTGTTGACCGCCCAGGAAAGGGACCCCTCAGTCCAAATGAGAAGTGGAAAGCCCGTGACAGCCCTCGGCATGCCTGACTTACTTCTGTAAAATGTCCATTATTTTCTGAATCCATCTGGCTTGCGGGTTCACACATTTAATTGACTTATTCTTCATCCACAGTCTGGGGATGGGAATGAGAAGAGGGGTGAAAATAAAAGTAAAGCAGCATTACAGTTAGGTCAATCCTGTGTGTTTTATAAAAAGAAGAGTTGGGCGTGAACAGAATCCTTCCCAGATGAAGGGAAATTAAAGCCAGACCGTTTTGTATTTGGACGAGGCGATCTGTGGCCTCCTTTCTGAGGAATAAGAAACTGTTTTCGGAGTGGTGTGTGCGCTGGCGGAGCTGAGTCTGAAGAGGAGAGCATCTCAGGGGTCGGAGGTCAGCGTTTGGTTGATAACATTTACATGAGTTGGAGAAGCACCAAATAGCTGACTGGAGGGTTGGCTCACTTCTGAGTCCTATCACACTATCTTTAAAATGCGCTTGTCCTCCGTGCTTGGGAGAACAAAATGGACTATAGAAAACTCTCTTGAGAACCTTTATCTGAAAACAATGCAATGAAATGTAATGTGTTGGGGGCTGCAGCGCTGATTGCTCTGAGTGACATCTGCATTTTGTCAAACCGCCAGTCAGCAAAGCTGTCCCTGCTCTAAGAAATTCAGTAACAATGAAAGTGAGGACAGCTAATGGCTGGTACTTATGCAGTACTTACACCGTGCTGGGGGGCCACGCTCAGCAGGTGACTTGGTTATCTCGGTTCATCTCACAAAAATCCTGTGCAGGAGGAACTATGATTTCCTCACCCTTTGATGAGAACATGAGGTTTTGAGAGTTGAAATAACTTGTCCAAGTGTGTGCCCAAATGCATACAGAGCAGGATTCAGATGAAGTTCATCTGACTCCAGAGCCCCCACTTCCAGCCACTGCTGTCCCTGAGCGTGACCAAGGCTTACTAAGTGCCAGGCATAGAGTTCCCTGCTTCCCCTGAAGTGGGACACGGGGAGACTCTGCTCTCTACTGCTGTGACCTGGGTTTGAGAATTTTCAACAGAACGCCATTTCTTGATGTGTAACTTATCTTAGCTATGAAATGACAAACGGAAAGGATCCATCCATCTAACTTTGAAACTCCACCTTTGTCAGTGAGTCTTAGAGAGGTCAGAGGGCAGGGGGCAGTGGGGCTCTCAGGCAGACCCTCCCGGAGGTTTCTCTGCTCACCATTGAAAAAGAGATTTCTGGCCCTCAGGACTCACAAGATTTTCACCCCTCACTGGTATAAGTTCCTCATAATAATCTGCAGCCTCATTTTTATATCTGGTTAAAATTTAGAAGTACAGAATTCTTTGAGAAGATATGCCATCAAATTTTATCATTTCAAAACAATTGTAGTCAAAGCAGACAAAATTAAGATGCATTACTTCCCTTGGCGGAGTGGGAGAGACCCAGGCCAAGACAGGGGAGGGTAATCAAATGAAAGGCGTCCCATCCAGCTCTCATGCAGAGGGTCTGCTCCCATTTGGCTGGCTGGACTTCCCATTCTCCAAGTTTGAGAGGAATTATCGTGGTTTCATTAGAACTTTTATTGGTAAAGACATTTGTGAAGTATAATGCCTTCTTAATAAAAAATCTCCATATACATTTTGTACATCCCATATATCTTTTGTACAGGTTGAACACAACTGGTCTGAGATCTAAAGCCTCAATGTCAAAATAGAACAAACCAAAAGTAGCTGCTTACAAACACTGAAAGTGTGAAGCAGTCCCTGGGCAGAGCTACTGACTGACCCCCCGTGAGGGCTGCCCTGAGAAAGGAGTGTGCCTGCTGCTGCCCAGTGCCGTGAAGAAGAGGCTTTGGGATGGGCACACAGGGCTGGTGTCCTGCCTGCTGGACCTCCCAATCCCTTTCTAATGGTGTTGAAGGCATTTAGCTCAAGCTGTTGCAAAGTACATACCTAAATATTAACAATTCTCATTCTTCGTTTGGGGATCCTTAGCAACACTCAAGTAAATCTCTCTCTCTTTCTTTTTTTTTTTTTGAGACAGTCTCACTATGTCACCCCCTGGTAAAGTGCCGTGATGTCACAGCTCACAGCAACCTCCAACTCTTGGGCTCAAGCAATTCTCTTGCCTTAGCCTCCCAAGTAGCTGGGACTACTTGGTGGGCTGTGCCCACCACACGCCTGGTTATTTTTAAAGACAGGGTCTTGCTCTGGCTCAGGCTGGTCTCAAACCTGTGAGCTCAGGCAATTCCCCCACCTCAGCCAAGTGCTGGGATTACAGGCATGAGCCACTGTGCCCGGCTCTCAAGTAAATCCCATGAATATTTTTGAGTTAGAAGGCCATATGGTAGAATTTGATCTGGCTTTCCCTGGAAGAAAGAAATCTTATCCAGTCTTCTTTTGCAACTTACATGATTTCTGTCTTGGGGCATCCGTTCCCCCGGGGAAAGATTTGAAGCTGATCAATGAAGCGTGGGCTGACGAAAGCCGAGGTCTCCTGGCTGCATCTACATTTCAGTTTTGTGTTGTAGGCCTCCAGGACTCCTGTAAACACAGAACCAGTCATTTTAATCCCTTTGGTGTCTAATTCATAACTGGAACCTAATTACTAATCTTTATACTGCGTTTGAAGATTGAAACATTTCAAGTCAGCACTTCCACCCATATGCCTTTAGTTGCACATTTTGATGTGTCTTGGTTTGAGAATTTTCACGTTTTCTACCAAACCCTTAAAAAATAAAATTAGCTTTTAAAATCATAACACTTACCGAAATTCATAATAGCATTATACCAGTACTCATATAATACAATTTGAGAACAGCCTTTGTAGGGACTTATACTTCAGTCATGATGAATGCAACTGATCGTCCTCACTCCCAGCACATAAAAACCAAAGACGTGACCCAATCTTAGACTCCGGGAGTAATAACGCACTGTAACCAAATTCTCTCTCTTATGACCTCCCCTGCCCTCCATCTCTCTGAGAAAATGCGACGAAAGACACTTTTTTGTTTTGGATTAATATTTTGATCTCCATCTCAGTTGCAAATCATCACCAAACAAAAGCCAATAATAAAAATTCAAGACCCTTTTTATTCAACAACAAAAGTTACTCATGCAGGATGGGTCGTGCCAATTCATGCCCCTCCCTTGTATTTTAATGGACTCTAATGAAATGTCAGAGGGTTTTTTTAAAGAAACAGTTATGCCTTGAAAAATAAAAATTTCATATACATTTTTCATATCCCATTTCTTTTTTACAGGTTGAAAACAACTGGTCTGAGATCTAAAGCCTCACTATCAAAGCAGGACCCATGAGAAGCAGCTGCTTACAAACCTCGGAAGTGTGAAGAAACGCCGAAGCCTCTCCCTCCAGAATGCTTACCACCATGCTGGACGAGTATAAATAAACTGGCTCAGCGCTCAAGATGTTTACAATTTTGTGGGAAAAGCAAGAGAAGGAAAACCTAAAATTCTGCAGAAGGCTGTATTACACCCAAGGTCTGCGCTGCGTCCTGGGGACAGACTTACTAATAGCTGACTTTGCCCAGAGCGCAGGAGAGCTCCACGGAGGAGGAGAGAAATGAGAGACAAGTGAAAACATGTGAAGCAAAATAAAAATTAAGAGAGAATAAAAACCTCTGTGCATTTTAAGAACCAAATGTGTCATCTAAACTGGAGCGAAGTACTGCTTTCTGCACAATCATCTATTCCTTCAGCCATGTAAAAACTTAGCACAGTAACTAGATTTTAGCTATTTACACAGACACTGCCCCATTTAGACTCAGAGGTCTGCTCCATTGCAGAATGTGTGCACCCCAGTACCCCTGGCATGCTGGCCACGGCTGGCATCAGATCTAACCATATGGGGTGGTATCAAGGAATGTCACTAAAAGAGACCAGCTGAGCTCAATCATCTTTAGATCCTATAAAGCAGCAGTTCTCAACCTGGGTTTGACCTACTTTGGGGGTCAAATGACCCTTTCCCAGGGGTCACCTAATATCAGATATTTGCATTAGCATTCATAACAGTAGCAAAATCACAATTATTACCAAAAATAATTTTATGGTTGGGGGTCACCACAACATGAGGAACTGTATTAAAGGGTCACAGCATTAGGAAGGTTGGGAACCACTGCTATAAAGGATTTAGTGAAAGGGGGTGGCCTGGAGAGGCAGAACAAAAAAGAAATAACACGTGAAGAATTAGTTATAGCAGCAGTTGAATCCCAAAATGTCCAGGAATATACAAGCCAAATATACAAGTCACATGAACACTGCACTTCCAACACCACCTTCTTCAAGGAACAGAAATCTTACCAGTGTAACTGTTCCAGGTTCTAAGAGTTACAGCCCTGAGCACCTTCCATTTAGAAATCTCGAAGCAACTGAGCAGTTCCCCCCTTTCATCAAATTTCCTCCACATATTTCAGTTAGAAACAGCATTGAACTGGCTGAAGACTTTCTACCCAAAGCACAGTGTAAACACAAGTGCAGGTCCTCACCCTGGACGGGACAGAGGCTGCTGACCAGCAGCAGGAGCAGCAGAGAGGCCGAGGTCAGTGTCATCCTGCCTGGAGGTGGAGTCCCGACTGCAGCTGTGAGCCCAGGCTGAGGGACGGCAGTACCAGGGAGCCCTATTTATTCACACCAGCGAGGGCCCTCCCACTGCCTCTGTCTCCTGGAGGTCAGCTGCATCATCAGTTGTAAAAGCCCCCAAATATTGCTGAGCTTGCTTTTTTTAACTTCTCTTGCAAACTTTGTGAATTTGTTTCTATAAGCACTATAATAAAATATTTCTTGAGAATGAAGACTGTAACTGCCAGAGATGCAGGAGAAATTTGAAGGTAGGGAGAGAGGGAAAGATGCCAGCGTGAGGCCAAGCACCCTCTCGAGGAGGTCGCCATGGGGGACTGTGGCTTTAATGCTCCTCTCAGTGCAGAATCAGCCTAGTTTCTCAGGGGCACTTCAGTGTGTGCTCCATGACATTAGGGACCCGCAGAGCACATCACATCCCAGCACCTGCAGGAGAGTTGGGCGGTGCTCGGTAAATATTTGCTGGCCTGATGAATGTCTCCTGAGACGCAGGTCCTTATGCTGGCGTGGCTACTGATTCCGACCAGCTGTCATATATGATTGCTTATATAATCTAACCACTGTGGGATTCTGGGAAGGGGAGTCTGTGTCCTGCCCTGTCCCTGGCTGTAGTATACAAGTCAATGGGCTGAGAACTGTGCACAGGGGAGGCAGTCACTGGAACGTCATCAGATGCTGGGCCCACATTACAGGCCATTTGGTGTAAGCGCATGTGAAGTTTGGTACCACTGAACAGAACATGGGGACAATTAACCCATGGCCTTAACTCACTTGCTACAAGTTTTTGATTAAAAAATAAAAGTATGTGGGCAATGGCTCATCTGGCCTAGGGCACCACTGAGCTGTCCGAAAGGCTTACAGATACAGTGCTATTGTGTCAAACGCCAAAGAATCAGAGGTTTGGTCTGGCTGGTGTGACTTCCTAAACTCGTGTGAGTGTGTGAATGAGTGTGTTTTCCTGCTCAGCTGGAATTATGGGTGTTCAGCATCTGGGTGCTCCCGGATGTGGGGGTACAGGGGAAGCCCCAGACCTTCCAGCGATGGTCAGCAGGTGTCTGGACGGCAGGAATGTGGGCCGCCCACTCCACTGTCAGTTCCAAGTGTTAGAAGGCTCTTCCTTGTGTAGATGTGAAAGCCGCTTCCCGAGTAGTTCAGTCATTTTGTCCTAATTCAACCCCACATCACAACACCAAGCAGCTCCAGATGCTCTGTCAAGGCAGGTGCGTTGGGGGCCCTCTGCGAAGTAGTTGCTGAGATGGACAGTGGAGCTACAAGCTGGTCCAGAGTAACTGCTGGATTGATGAAGTTGGGGAGGAGGCAGAACCGGGGGGCGGGGAGCTCAGCTTGTGCTGCTGGTCTGACAAAGTTGGTGGCAACTCCACAGGGAGCCCCTGATGGGGCAGGGTGGGGCGGTGTCCAGAGCCAAGGACCCCTGTGGGCTCCATCTGGGTTGGGCCCCTCAGAAACAGCCTGGTGTCTGAGGGCAGC